ATCCCAGCCCCACAGATCCATATCCCAGCCCCACAGATCCATATCCCAGCCCCATAGATCCTATCCCAGCCACACAGATCCCATCTCTAGCCCCATGGATTCACGTCCCAACCCGCTGGATCCCATCCCAGACCCACAGATCCAATCCCATACCCCATATCCCATCTCTAGCATCATGGATTCACATTCCAGCCCCACAGATCCCAGACCAGCCCCATGGATCCTCATCCCAGCCTCCCAGATTCCATCCCAGCACCATGGGTCCCCAATCCAGCCCCACTGATCCCATCCCAGCCCCATGGATCACAAGATATTCCATCCCAGCCGAATGGATCCCCATTTCAGCCCCTTGGATCCCTGTGAATCCACAGCTCAGACCCACAGATACCATCCCAGACCCATGGATCCTCATCCAAGCACTACAGATCCCATCCCAGTCCCACAGATCCCATCCTAGCCCCACAGTTCCCATCCCAGCCCCACAAATTCAATCCCAGCCCCATGGATCCCCATCCCAGCCCCATGGATCACAAGATATTCCATCCCAGCCTAGTGGATCCCCATTTCAGCCCCTGGAAGTCCTCTGAATTCACATTAGAGGCCTATAGATCCCATCCCAGCCCAGCCCTATAGATCTCCATCTCAACCCCACAGATCCCCATTCCACCCCACAGATGCCATCCCAGCCCCAGAGATCCCATTCCATCCCCATGGATCCCATTCCACCCCACAGATCCCATCCCAGCGCCAGAGTTCCCACCCCAGCCCCACAGATCCCCATTCCACCCCACAGGTCCCATCCCAGCCCCACAGATCCCATCCCAGCCCCACAGATCCCATCCAAGCCCCACAGATCCCATCCCAGCCCCATGGATCCCATCCCAGCCCCACAGATCCACATCACAACCCCACAGATCCACATCACAACCCCATGGATCCCATCCCAGCCCCACAGATGCCATCTCTAGCCCCATGGATCCACGTCCTAACCCAATGGATCCCATCCCAGACCCACAGATCCCATCTCTAGCCCCATGGATTCATGTCCCAACCTGCTGGATCCCATCCCAGACCCACAGATCCAATCCCATACCCCATATCCCATTTCTAGCCTCATGGATTCAAATTCCAGCCCCACAGATCCCAGACCAGCCCCATGGATCCTCATCCCAGCCTCCCAGATTCCATCCCAGCACTATGGGTCCCCAATCCATCCCCACTGATCCCATCCCAGCCCCATGGATCACAAGATATTCCATCCCAGCCGAATGGATCCCCATTTCAGCCCCTTGGAACCCTGTGAATCCACAGCTGAGACCCACAGGTAACATCCCAGACCCATGGATCCTCATCCAAGCACTACAGATCCCATTCCACCCCACAGATCCCATCCCAGCCCCACAGTTCCCATCCCAGCCCCACAGATCCCCATTCTACCCCACAGATTCCATCCCAGCCCCACAGATCCCACCCCAGCCCCACAGATCCCATCCCAGCCTGACAGGTCCCATTCCATCCCCATGGATCCCATTCAATCCCCATAGATCCCGTTCCACCCCACAGTTCCCATCCCAGCCCCACAGATCCCATTCCACCCCACAGATCGCATCCCAGCCCCACAGATCCCATTCCACCCCACAGATCC